ATAATTTACTATATGTCAGGTACTATGAGAGGAAATGAGACTTTTATGATGAAAAGTCAGCGAGAAATTTTGACCATTGGATAATGTGACCAGATTTGCATCTTGAAAGACTATGCTAACATCACTAAAGAGGAAGAGCTGGAGTGAGTCAAAACAGGCAACTTTTTAAAGAGGCTGTGAACAAGACTAGATAAGAATCACTTAGGGCCTGAACAACAGCCAGCAGCAAAGACAAAAGTAAAATATGAATTTAGAAATTATTAGTAAGAGCTAGATCGCACGGAGATCAGCAAGCACGGAGAGGGAGAGAGAAGAGGAGATGGGATTGACACGAATTCCTAGCTTGATGGAACAGGATGGAAAAAGAGATCACTGAAGGATAAGCAACAGGTTTGGAGAGAAAGCTGATAAATTCAGTTTTGTAATACTAACCTTGACGTACTTACATGAAATGGATAAATTTATTGGAAACACAATCTACTAAGAATGACACATGAAGAGATAACAAATTTGCATAGCTCTAAATCTATAAAAATGGAATCTTAATGGCATAGATTCATACAATTGATAATCATACATATAACAATTTATTTCCAACAGAATTAATTTAAAAAGATAAATTTTAATTATGAAAAAGGACACTCTTGATCTAAGGAAATTTTAAAACTTTCCTTAGAAATTTATAACAATCTGCATTTACAAATGACATGAGGTAACTTGCCTCCAAATCTTTTTCTGTGTTCATTTGCTCTCGGCTTTTTAAATGGATCAAAACAATTTAAGTTGGAAAACACCTGGCAATTTTGCTAATAAAAAAACCTTTTTAAAAATAATCTTACATTATACTATACAGTATTTTAAAGTTTCCAGAGTGATCTTGTAGATATTGATTGATTTACATGAAAGATCATATTACCTCTTATGAATAAACATCTACACTTAACAAAAACATCACAATTGAAACTTGAGATACTTAGAACAGAGTCTAGGTTAAACCTCCATAGTAAGGTTCAGTTCCTGAGAATAAAATAAAAGAGATCAACAAGTTTTGAGAGTCAACTAGTTTTACATGTACAGTTTTAAAGCAGCACTCCAAGTCCTTATCACACACCTAACTTCTGTTTTGGGCAGCCTGTGAGGGAAGTCTCCCTGCTTCAAAGATGAAGAAGCTAAAGCTTGGAAAGGGCCAGTTAACGGCCGGAAGTAGCGCCACTGGTGCATCACAGATCCAGGATTCTGGCTGTTTTGACTCTGAAGCTTGCTCTTTTCGTTAAGATGGGAAAGGGCATAGAAAGTTGTGAAAGAAAAAGCAAGTGCCTGGTAGGGGAGTGAAGGCTAGAGACAAAAGACCTATTCTGAAAGAAAGCGGAGCAAATTTCCTAAAGTATAGATATAAAGAGTCTGCAGTTAAAAGAATAAAGCTCTCCCCAATCTGAATATATTTAGTAATACGGATTTACGTAGATTCGATTATTGTGTTTATCATTAATGATAGTTATCTGTTCATTATTACAGAACTCATATGTTAATCAACAATTTGAATATCTTGAGTTAAAGTTACTGAAAATAACTTTTTACACTGCAACCTCTGACCGTTACACATGTAATTCCCTTATGAACATGCACAATTTAGTACACTGCTGTCAAAACACTTGAAAAATTTTCATAAGGCTGAAAACTGCTCAAAAATTTTAGGGGAATAAAAACATGATTCACTGAAATCATGTCAGACTGCTTCTCTATTTAGCACTTTTTTGTATTCTTAAGCATTTCTCAGGATCTGAGACTACTCAGTGCTGGGGACAGCGGAGAGACGGAACGACAGAGCCTGTGTCGACATTTGACTGGTGCTCACTGTAACTTTATCACCCTAAAGAGCCTGCGGGGATGGGGAACAGAATAATAAAACCTAAAAGCACAAGAATAAGAAAGTTAAGAATTCTGCTGTATGGATATATTAATACACTGTGTATCCATTAAAATAGTTATCAAAGACAGTATAGGAACACTGAGAGGCTTATAAACATTAAATTTAAAAGGAGGAATTCAAATCATATAAAGTATCAGCTCAATTAGGTATGATAAGTTACAAATTTAACCCAAAATGTTCAAAAGTGGTTAATTATGGCTTTATCTCTGAACGACGTACAGTTTGAGTATGCTGTCATTTAGAACATTATCTCTATGGAGCATGTGTTTATAATCAGATAAATATGTACAAAAATCTTCAGATATCCTTGAAATTTAATTTTTTTTATACACAAAATGTTTTCAAATGGGCAGCTATTTCTTTCAGTGCCATAACAAGCACCAAGAGCTGCTGGCCTGTAATAGCACCTTCACACGCAATCACAATGCTGTTGCAGCGACAAAGGGGTTGCTACTAAAATAATCTGAAGCTGTTAGTCAAAATGCTACTGGTCAGTATAGTTACATACAGGAGGAAAGAGGGATTTTCATTCCAAAGGTTAAACGCTCAGATGTGAGTAGGTAAAACTGATTCAGACATAGTGAAAATGTTAATGTCACTGCCCTGTGGTCACGCACCTGCCAATTTTTATTTTGAACGCATTCGTCTCCTCAATCCAAAACCCATATATTTCAATATAAAACATCAGTAAAAAAGCAGGAAGAAACGTGCTGGGCATATATAAGAAAAATTGAAATATCTAGAGAAAAAAGCTACATAAATGAAAAAATAAGCTATGATTATAGACGGAAAGAAAGCATATTTTAAATGTCAGACTCTTCCTAAATTAAAATAAAAATTTTAACCAAATTTAATTTTTTTTTTGGTTTATATCACTGATAGTTATAATTTTTAAAAAATCCTATTAAGCTCAATCTGCAGGAATAAAGTAAAAAAATATATACTTTAGAATAATAACATTGATGGCCAAGAGGTCTAGCAAGTAACACTAGCAGAAAGTTAAAAATATTAAACCAACGTGGCATTTGCACAAAAATGCCTACAGTTTAGAAGAACAGACAGTTTAGAAATACATCAGTGACACACTGACATACATATATGCACACGTAACTAAACTTAAAGTATGATGAAAGAAGCATCGCCAACTAATGATAAAAGGACTCAATAAATGGTGCTGAAAATAAATTGGTGGTTCGATAAAATATCCTAGTAAAGGTAACACATACAATAGACTTCAAAAGGTTTACTGTAGACGCCCAGTGGATGCCTGAAGCCATGCATAGTACCGAACAAACTCTATATGCACTGAGACATGCCTATGGTAAAGTTTAATTTCTAAATTAGGTACAGAAATGTTATCAATAATAACTAATGAAACAGGCCAATTATAAAAATATACTGAAATGAAAGGTAGGTGAACGTGGGCTGTATCTCAGAATGTCTTACTGTGCTGCACTCACCCTTCCCGCGCTGCTGTGAGCTGATGCAGTGCCTGCACCGTGGCGCAGCGTTAGGCGACCTCCTGCAGGGTGACGTGAACGCAGGCACTGCAGCAGATGACAGGCCTGACAGCCCAGAGGGCTCCTGAGTGGCTAGTGGGCAGGTAGTGTACACAGCGTGCGTACACTGGACAAAGGGATGATCCACATCCCGGGCAGAAAGGAGTGGGAGGGTGGGAGAATTCACATGCTACTTAGAATGGAGCACAATTTAAAACCTATGAATTGTTTATATCTAGAATTTTCCATTCAATATTTTCAGACCATGGGTAACTGAAACTGCAGAAAACTGAAAGGGAAACCTCCCGTATTACAATTTTAAAGGCTTAAGAAAATAGCTGCAAAAAACAAAAGAATATGAAATAAAAGCCCTCTTAATAATCAATAGGAAAGTGAAAAATCAATATGAGTATCACCGACTTCCTGAAGTAAACATATGTAAAAGCAAGAAAGCAGTAATTCACAGGGGAAAAAGACAAACTGACAAAATAAGCATAAGGGGGAAAGAATTCACCAGTAAACAAGAAGTGCAAATAAAATGATAGCATCTTCCACATACTAAATTTGCAAATATTAAAAAAAAAGAGATAATTCAATACTGTGGAGATTCAGAGAAATCGACACTCTTGGGTAGGAATATAATATGATATGTACCTTTCTAGAAAGCAATTTGACAATATACATTAATGACTTTAGGAATATTCTTCAAAGTTTATCCCCAAATTCCAAATCTATCTAATCAACAGAGATGTGGTCAAATGTTTATATATATAGCCTAGAATTTTTAATAATGGACCTTTTAGGAGAAGGAGCAGGGTAAAAGAATCTGACTGTAATCCAGTTCCTTCTGATTCCTTACTAGTTCACTGCTTTTTCTGCCAAGACATGGTTCAAAGAAAATACAAATTCATTTATTTGCAAATAACTAAATAATAGCTTTGTCCCAAACTCTGATCCAGATGCTAGGGGGAGAGAGAGCAGTGAACAGGACAAGCAAACTCCCTATTATTGTGGAGGCTATGTCCTAGTGGAGGAGATAGACAATTAAGTAAACAAACAGAAAATATAAACCAATTTTAAATCGTAATTTGACATTAAGAAAATAAAACTGTGTGTGTGTGTGTGTGTGTGTGTATCATATGATTAAATATCTGGAGAGGTAAAAACAGGAATAGAATAGAAAAACGTAGTTAGAAGAAGCCTGTGTGAAACTGACATTCGAGCAGGGATCTAAGACAATAAGAAGTTCGGGGGAAGAGCAGTCCAGTCAGAGGAAGGGAACATCACGCACGAGACCCTAAAGCAGAAAAAAAGCAGACCTGAAAATAACAAATGTTAACTG